TCTTCCATGTTCTACGTTATTATCAAAATTGTTTAATGAAAACTTCACGGTACAAGGTTTAAACAACTTCAGCTTTAAATATATCAAAGATTACACTTAATATTATTATTTATAATCCCGTGCAAATGATAATTCGTAATAACCGCAACAAAGGAAAACACGCTTTCCTCGTAATTTGATTAAATTAGTGGCGGTAAAGTCGGATAATATCGTTCGATAAAACCGGCACTGATTAAAATCGAATAAATGTTAAACATTCGTTTCACTCTCGGGGGAGTAAGTTCGAATCTGGACGCAATTACCCTAAAAACGAGCCATTTCCGTGAGCAGCGCGAGTGTTAACGATAATGAGCATCTGTCTGTGGAAAGTAGCAATTTTTATTGTTATTAGCGACGCTTTACACGCCTCTGCGTACGGTTTCTGTTCATTTTCTGGTTAATTTCGCGGAATCCGCCAGCGAGGCAATGGAAGGGGATTGCTTTTCCGACGGCTCGTTTGCAGAAAATAAGGGTTGAGCTTAAATAATTAGCGGCCGAATGGTTCAGAAAGGGCGCAGAGAATTTCCATTGATTTCGGATCACTTTTTGCTTTTCCCCCGTGCTTTTAGCCTCCTTTGTTTATTCATCTCTTGGTTTGCTGCATTTCCAGTTTTTCACGAATTCGCAACAGAAAAAGCAGTCGATTTCGTTTATTGCGTTATGTGTAACGGATGAAAGATGTTGATCAGTCTCTGATGCTAAAATTAGTATGTTAGCAAGTTAGTAAACCGGTATGTAAACGAGTTAGTAAATCAGTGGGTTAGTAAGTTAATGAAAACGGCAACTGCGGTTGACAAGTCTAAAAGACGAAATGAGGATATTATACCGAATCGAAAAGGGCCGATCAGCGCACCGATGCGATCCTTTTAAGTACGTCGCTGTCACAACCCTTCTTCCCGTTCCCTCCCATTCTCATTCACCGTCCTCTTTATTTTCAAACGCGGCGGGTTTATCGTAGCGACGACGAAAAATATAAATTCTTCATTCAGCCGTCACAACGCTGATGTTGAATATTCGATGAGAACTAAAACGCGTGACACTGCTTGCATTAGCGACCTCTCACCCCCGTTATACGAATCCAGCCCCTCCGTCGCGCGATTCCCATTCACATTTGCAGATATTTCTGGCGTCAACTCGGTGCCATGCATTTTTATGAGATTCAGTTATTTACTGATGGAATTACACACTTGTACAATGAAATATTTCTACTTTTTATTATAGTGGTGAGAAGATTATTTTCTGGAACGAGTACTACTAATGTTTCTGGTATTACTCGGTATCAGGACTATGTGATTCTTTTCTCCTTTTTTTTTCATTTTTTTCCTCCCCCAAGAATGTGATAATCTGAATAAGGAGATTGTCCTTATTCTTGTGGATGATCATACCATCGGTAGCATCAAGTAAAGTTGGAGGAAAAATTTAGAATTGGAAATTTGAGCGATAGGGACCTTTGAGAGCAGCAGAGTTATTTTGGAAATTGCGAACGAGAAAATTAAATAATGAAAAAATCCTTAGGAAAATTATTTAAACACGCTAATATTTCCTTAGTTGCACGTACGTGTCACGCGGATTTTTCACGATACAACCGACAGAGATTGCATCTCGTGAGAGACTGTATGCTTAATCGAGCACGATAACGGTGCAGTTATTATCCCTGAGACAGAGATTAAAATTTTAATTGCGGCCACGAAGCCGGGTCCCTCGTATCGTCCGTTACATTTTCCTCTTTTCCGTTTCCGTTTTCACGGCTGTTTCGCGGCCGGATGGATAAAAATACGCTCGACGATCCTTTTGTTGTTTACGCGAAAAATCTAATTATCCAAGCTTTAGAGCGTGCCGCGGTTAAAACGAGGACGAACTCTTTAAAACAGAGCTAAATCAGGGACGTTTCTCAGGGCGTTTCTTGCGTGACGTATGCACGGTATATCAACCGCGCACCACAGTATTTAGTATAATAGTTTGACGAGTATAATCCGTCGCTAAAAATATTTCACTGTGGGGATTCATTCGAGAGAGACATTTTTTTGCAAGTGTAGTAGTGCTTTTACAGTGGATTTTACGGTGGACACGAGGGTGGTTTCATACGTAGTTTATTTTTACAGCTTATGGCTCTTTGATGAAGATTGACGATGGAGTTGGCTATGAATAGACTGTAAACTTTTATGTAACTTGGTATTTATACACGTAATTAAAGAAATGGTATCTACACAGAGATTTGTTTCACCCTCTAGATATCATAGCGAGTTATACTATAATTTTTATCTTTGTTATACGTATTTTGTCCTTTTTCGCGACTTTCTGTTTCCGATAAACGCAATCTAATTACTAAAATATTAAGAAAAATTATAGGATCAAAATTATGTATTTGTGACAAAAATTATCTTGTACGATATTTTTATTCAGAATTTCGATTACAGATCAATACCGTTCTTTTCATCTAGAAAAATTTTGACACAATCTTCGGGATTAAGCATATCCGATTAATTACAGAAACATGTATGTGATATATAATATTCCAGTATGTGTCTGTAAACATGTCGTATTTGTTATCGGATCTTTTAAAATACCGAGTAATTTTTTTACTTGTGGACTAATGGTAATTTGATCGGATGATCGATCGTCTAATTATTTTTATCGAATATCGTACAAGGACGACGACTTCACCGTTATACCGACTGTTTTAATACGAAGAATATATGGATGCATCTTTTTCGTCTTTTTTTCTTCTCTTTTTTTGTACATACGCTAATTGGTCATGATTTATTCGATATTAGGAGAAACGAGTGGCTCGTTAAAAAATTCTCATTGAAACGTACTGTTACGTTTACGTCATTAAAATTTAAATTTCATAAAAACCACCAGTTATATCAGATGATAACTTCGGGAATGTACGAGCTAGAACTTTATATTAAATGGGGAAACGTTTATTCGCAAAATTTGACACACATATACGATTTTTATATATGTTAAGTATTGTCTGTTGTGCATTTTTAAATTCTTTGTCGCAATTTAATATTCGTACAAACTCATGGTTACTATAATTTTCGTGTTACGAATTTTACCAATGCGAACCTCGTATATTTCTTGCAATTTTAAATCCGTGGAATATTTAAATCCCGGTGTGTAAAAAATTCTTTTCGCTTAAAATTCCCGAGATACGAACATTAATTATTTTTTACGGTCCACGAAAGTCAATGTTTGATGTTCTTGTAATTTTAGGTTCGTCGTACTATCATATTATATCTTTAATTTAAATGTCACTTAAAGCTAAAATATCCAGCTGTATAAAAAATTATCTCGTGAAAATTTAGAAATTAAAAGATCAAATAATATCAGAGAAATTACGAATTGAAACGTACGCCCGATAAGCTAAGAAGACTAAATTATCGTTCAACGTGAACAATCTATTAAAATATCAATATCAGGTAACAATATTAACTATCGCTGGAATAACATCAATAAGACATAATTATCCCATCTCCGGTAATTTTCTTGTCACAAGTTCCGCAATAACAAGAGAACGGAGCAACCAGTGGCAACTCTGTACGATGATTCAGTGGGAATTGGCGCAGGTGATCGCAAGTCCATGGACCAAGACAAATATTGGTCCTGGTATTATTAATACGATCGCCTGGTCTACTCGACCGACGAAATGTATGACAATGACGACGATTTCACGTTGATCGCGATTATCAGTCCGCGGCTGGAAGCACAATTTTCGCCTGCACACGCTTTGTTTCGTTGCTCCAAGCTGCGATAACCATTTTTGAATCTACTCGATTACGCTTTTAACGATTTTGGCCAACTATATGAGAATTGGAGGTTTAATAGCGAAACGAGAAGATAGGTGCTTTGTTACACGCGATGACCTGTGTGGTTGAAAATTAGTTTGGTTATTGATTTGAGTCTCTCCACAGCTTTCGATAATGAGAAATTGTCTTCCAAATTGAGAAAAAATTGTTCGAGAAATTAGGACGATAACGATATTGAAATTTATTTGTCCGAATTTAGTTAGAAACCAACTAAAGGTAAATAAATTATTTAAAAACAAATGTGCTTCGGCAAGCACTTCGGAATATGAAAATGAAGATAATTTTAAACCGTACGATATTCTAATTACGCTGGGCGTGAGAATGAAGAATAGAATCAAGGGATTAATTAATGAATTTCGTTTTTTCGAGTCGGATAAAATTCGAGGCCCAGCCAAAGTGTAAAATTTCCGCGAATCCGAAGCTTTTAATTACCTTAATGATGGGGTAGGAACCCTCGACATTTACATTAATCTCTTCATACTTTACTACGTAATTATCTCATGTTTCCTCCTCCTTTGTTTCAATTGAGATATTACAAATTAAATAAGACTCTGTTCGTCTAATGATTTAGCCTGTGTCAAAGAATTTTGTCACATTCCGGATAGCCAAATTAATTTCATGCGTAAATTACAAAAATTGTGATATTCTTATAGCGTATTTGGTATTATTAGTTTATTTGCTTTGAGAAGAGTTTGTCGATCATCGGGACGCGAGCAAAAGTGACTTTAATTAATTAAACGCACCTGTTCAATATTTAATATCGAAATATGTAGTTGATTTATTTACAATAGCGCGAATTTACAAAATTTCTCAAATGTGTCGCGAAATATCTGTGTTATCGAAGTTTTCCAATTAAAAAATAAAATGCGTGGAATGTGCATCTATGTGTGAAGAATCGTGAATTCTCCATCATATCGAGAATGTTTCGTATAATAAATAAAATCCTGGTTTAATTTGCGAAACTAACGAGTTCGCGTTTGAGTATCGGAATTATTAGCTTAACTACCCCTGGTAGAACGATCATGCTGGAAATCATAATTGGATTACATATCGATCGTTTCCGAATTTATCCTGTACACGGTAAGTTTTCTATTTCGCGTTGAATTAACTAAAAATTTCACTGATTTCGTATTTTCATTTTTGTTGCAGATATTCACGCGTTTCGGCAAGGTCCTCAAGATCGTCACCTTCACGAAAAACAGTAAGTGGTATTTTACGAAATTTATACTTTACAGTTACGCAATTAGTACCTCGTAGAGAAGCTTGAATTTCAAGTATCACGAGAATTTGGCCGAAATCGCATAATTTGAATAGGATTATTCGAACATTCGACGTTAAAAATTTTCTTTTCGGTAAAACAACGGAATTCCTAAATGGTCTAAAAAAATCCACCCTAGTGTTTGAATACTTGGAGAATTTTTACGAGATGTTGAAAAACTTCGCCACGGTTTATCTTATTGATTAAAATCCAAAAGAACGTATATACGCTTCATTAAAGTTACCTTAATCTTTAACCAATTTTTACCCGATCTTCTATTCAACACCGATGAATTTTCTTGCCAAATTTTCACGGGGCTGTTACACAGAAAGACTTTCACAAATATCCACCGAAACTTTTCGCGTTTATCTCGAAGGAGATAGACTGCAGTGGGGAAAGACCGTTTTGAACGTTTCGAAGTGGCTCTTGTTTTCCTCCTCCAGTGCAATAGCTACTGGACCACCCTGTATAGACGCCACTCTTGCTGGCAGACACGCCATGGCACTTTAGTACTTCAGTGTACACTTGAAGTGTATCCTGGCCCGACGACGTCGACGCTGTTAGTACTTTCAGTGTTGTACTCGAATCTAACGGGTGTTTCAAATGCGTCTACCCTGCTGCTAATCTCTCTATAAATGTATTTTCGAAATAAGAAACTAGAAGCAAATACGATCTTTTCCATCTTGTTGCGTCACAGCTGATAAATTAATTACTAAAATTGTACGAGGCAGCGAAATATACATCTTACGTTTGATTCAACACGTATTGATTCGTATCGCACGCCCGTTATATACATAGAAAGAGTTCACTTCACCCACGGTAAAAGTGCGTTACAAATTCATGTCGGTTCAGACAGCAAAAGTCTCGAGTATTTTATTTTGCGACGTGGCAACCTTCCTTTTTTGCTCCTGATATATTTCCGCGGCTGGCAATTATAGAAAGGCAAATAGATATTCCTACACTTTTGTAACATCGATTCACGACCAATCAACTTTGCTTCCTTCTGTTGTATTTCTGCAGAGTCTCTTCGATATTAGAAAAAGTAAGAAAAGAAGGAAAGAGAACTTGACGAGAAGAGCAGAACAAGTTTCTTTTTGTTTGTTTGAACGTTATCGAATACGTCTATTTACTCATTATGGTACTGCCAAGTAATCTTACAAGTATATTGGTATACTTGTATTGCAACCACGACGACGCATTCTATGCGTCTACTACAATCCAACGCTATTTTTATCAATAGCCAATGTATTGAAAATATCTGATATCTGAATTCACTCGTACGATTATAAATCACTTTATCGAAACATACGATAGGGGATAAACAGAACGGAAAAATCGGCCGTGGACTGGATTATTCAATTTTCGAGTCGAAGACATAAAGAAGGCAAGCGAATGAAACGAGTTGTTATAGGAAGAATCCGTCCCAGAAAAGCGTTTCAAACGAAATGAAATAAAAAATGGGAATCTCCCAATCAGCCTGAGGTGTTCTCCGTGGAAAGGAGCGGCAAGAAAGAAAAGAACCGCGCGTATGTTTTTAATTCGAGGCAGTCAGCTCGCAACGTCGAGGAACACCGAGCACCAAGTGCCTCGCTTCTGAGATTCTACCTCGTTTCCTTGTCTTTTCCGTTTCTTTAAAGGTTTTGTTTGGCGAACAGAATGGCGGGAATTCGTTAGACTATGCCGTTTGTTTTCTTCTGTTCGTTATTCGTACTTACGTGGCTGGAAAAATGGAATTTTCGAATGTCCGATTTATACGAAGTTCCGATTGGAAAACTTCCGATTCGTAAATTTTCAATAGATATATTCGACGCTCTATGAACGAAGTTTCGATTGGAGAAATTTCATATCGAGACATTTTTCGAGAGTCGAACTATCAATCTCTGTGCTTCGATCTTCGAAATTTTTAATCTCCAGGTTTCTGTTTCTTGCGAATATTATTCCACGTAGATTTTTTAACGACCAAACACGCGAAGCGCGCGCGAGATAAAAATAACGTTGAACTATGAATTTTAAGCATCTTTTATATTATATTTCAAGTAAAATCTGGCAGTAAGACAAATTTCTGAATGTCAAATTAGTAATTTTCTGTACGAATAATTTACGTAACCACCGCCCACGATCTACTAGTAACTCAAAAAGTCAAACAACTAATTATCATCGGAACGAGATACAAAATAAGGAGAAAGAAACTAAAGAGAAAGAGAAAAATGTGAATAGAAAAGTGGAATAATAAAATAGAGAAAAATAATGAAATAAAATAAAATAGAGAGAGTCGAATAGAGAGTATGGAAATGGAACGAACGAATAGCCACTTGACCGAATCGAACTTTAATTGGACACTGAGTGCGTCTTCGCTTTAATTTAGGGCCCGTGGCTCCGTGATTTCGCCAATCAACCGCTATTTGTCTCAAAGCCAGGCTCTTTGAAACTGTCGCATCCCTTTCAATCGCGAACAACAGCCACCTTTTGTTCGATCGAGCGTCCATTGATTGAACGTCTTTTGGCTATCCCTGACCAATTGTCGCCAAGACAATTCGGTGTCGATATTGTTTTTTAACGCTGGAACAGATATTTCTAGCTGTTCCCTCGATGGAAAGATACGGTGGAGATGTTGCAGAGTGTTTGAAGAGAATGTTGAGGGACGCTTAAACGAAATTAATGGCTTTTGGTGTGAAACTTAATCCTATTAAAAGTCGCAGCCTTTGTAAATAAAACCTCGCTTGTCGTATTCGTAATAATTAGATAAAAAAAAAAGTTGATGGAAATGAGAAAGCAATGAAAATAGCAGAAAACTCTATGGAACAATAATAGTAGTCGATTTCCATTTTATTTCAGATCTTCGCGCATTACATACGAATATTTATACCCTTAATATCACCTTTCGTTCGCCGACAAAAGTTGGAAAAAGCGCGAAAAATACATGGGAAAACGTTTTATTAGCGATATAATGCAATAACGGGATCGAGTTTTTCGCCGGTAGCAACGTTATTCAATTTCCATCGTTATTTGATCGTGCGACAGGGGTGAGATCGGGAAGATAATAAAAATTCTGTTCCATAGAGGGGAAAAAGTGACCGGTGTCACAACATATTACCGCGAATCCAGTGAGATCTCCCTTTATTTCCATTTAATTTCGGCTTTATTTAATTTTCACCGGCGCAAACCACCGTGAGAACGGCATTTGGTTTCGAAAATCGAACGATAATCCCTGTTTTGCTACGTATTTTTCCTACCATTTTCATTTTAAGGGGATTGTTGGGAGTTTCATATCGTAGAACGTATATTTTTCTATTTACCAAATTTTTAGTATCTTTAACGCTTTTTATGCTTACTACTCGTTACACCACTGATGTTTCAAAGTGTTTCATGTTACGTACGTAATATATTCACCAGATAATATATAAATCATAATTCTTCATAATCGATTCATAATGTAATAATTCTATTAAAATACTTCGTAAGTACACATATGTAATATATTCTCTAAATATTGAAATTCACCAGCCACTGTACACAAAGTAGCGCTTTAATATTTTATTTTCCGTAATTTCCGAACGAATCAGTTAACAGTTTTCGTAACCCAATCTAACAAAATACTTCTCTCTTTGTTTCAGACACTTTCCAGGCACTAATACAGTACGCGGACATGCTGTCGGCGCAAACCGCCAAACTGGTGAGTATCCACTTAAACTTTTCCGCCGAAACGCACGCAAAAATCCAACCCTCTCTCTGTGTTACCTCTTTTTCCTCTCTCTCTCCGTTTTTCTTCTTCGTTTCTCGAGTCTGGAGACCAGTGTTTCTCCTGCAGCCACAGTTTATCCTTGTCCTCTCGTGGGACAGATCGACATTTTTCGTGGAATACCAACGGAAGTGTCATCCATTAGAAGGTCCAGGTGCCATGAGGCAAATAATGTAAATTTTAATCTCCTCCCCAGCCTTGTTTTTATCAGAAAGAAAATGCGTTGCGTTGGAGTACTGTTTTTTATTTTTTTATGTTTTTTTTGTATTTTAAAGTGTCCTCTTAGTTTTATATATTTTTAAATATATGTGGTTAAATATGGTTCTGTTTTTTTCAGTTCCTATTTCGGAGCTTTAAACCATACGTTTTAATATTTAGTTTAATATTTTTAATTTATTTCTGTATTCGTATGTATGTTATTTTATTACAAGTTTTTCACTTGAATCCTATATGACTGATGATAAATTGTTACTGCATAGTAAGAAGGAACAAACAACAAGATAGTATATTTCAAAATATTTTAATTCATACATCTTCTCTCTTAACGCGACGTAAGCTCCTCGGTTGGTGTTCTTGTTCTATATTTCTTCGATGAATTTTATGCAACACTCGTGCCACTTTGTGCAACATATGTGTGAGAGTTTTTGAACTCGTCTAAGATCTACATATATGTTCACTTTTAAATCCCACTGTATTTTAATCAAAGAAATATTCACCCGGAGGAAACCTCTTCTCCCTTGGACACTCCATCTAACCTCAACAACGTTCCGAAAGCCAGCAACGCTTCTTAGCAAGGAATCCGCTGAGTCCTCGCCGCGATTTCTGGTTTGGAATTTTCGTCGCGAATCTGCTCGTTAACGAATGCTAATTCGACCACTCGACGAGTGGAAATCCGCGAAAGCCGGTTACCAGTCGACGTTTCCTGTAATAAATGTTCCCTTTTCGCGGCCAAAATTAAGCTGCAACACGCTTGCTCGACGCGGTTGTCGCGTTATTTCCAGAATTATCCGCCGGTTTCGATATCAAAGCAACCGAATTTTTCGATATTTTTCCAGTCCTTGTCTTTTTTTTCACCTGGCTCTGTTCGATTCCACGTTGATTTTCGAATCCCGATTTTTAGGTTAATTAACGTCTGGAGCTTTTCTTCCGTTTGGTAGTTTCGAGGGGCTTTCGAGTGGTTTGGAGCGGATTGAAATATTTATCTAAATAAACGAATAAATTCTTTTGGATATACAGTGGTATTCATAACTATTCCGATATACCATCCATACTTTATACTTTGCTTTATTTTACTTATATTCACTATACTATATAGGTTCTTGTTTGAATTTTATGATATATCTGTTCGAAATTCATAAATTTGCAGTCATATTTCTATACGTTCTAGTATTTCATAGTAATTAGGAGAATATTTTAACACATTTGTCAGAGATTCATAGTCTATTCTCTCGAGAAAATCCTCGCAATTTTACGATAGAAGAGGATAGAAATTTATCGATAAATTTCATTGAGAAAGTTGCCGGTGAATTAAATTAAAAAAATCTTGGTACTCGGGGATATTTTAAGAGTTCCAGTCGAAGCCGGAGGACTTTTACTGTTTTCACGAACCCTTATTCTCTGTTTCCCCGTTTTTTCGAGTTTGTTTTTTCACCGCAATCCTCTTAGATATAAGTCCCCGGTTTCTATCAACAAGTTCCGATCGATCGGAGTTTATGGGATTCTAAAGTCAATCGAAGAAAAATGTTATTCTGTATAATTTTCCATTTTATAGGGAGCTGGCTTTGCTTTCAAACTAAATGGAATTCTATGTCGGCCCTCTGAGCTGCTCTTTCGATCGTGTTTATCATTCTCTCTTCCTTCCAATTTCCCTCGAAGACCTAAAGAAAGAAGAAACTAAAACGACCTAAATAATATATCTTTAATGATAATAATAATTTAATGGAACTTAACATCTTCTTCGTGCGGACAACAATATAAAAATAGTCCAACGATTTATTGTAAAATACTCAAATTTAAACAGGAATGAAATGATTTTTGACAACTTTTCAAAAATTATTGATTTCTTGCTGTAAACTGCGGTACGATGTAGATACTGAATTTTTTATTGCAACTTAAAGTCAACCATTCTATTATTCTTCGATCACGATTTCAACGATAAAATACAAAGTGCCGTAACGCGCATTTGCAAACAGTCCACGTTAAACACACACGAGCCCTCGGCAATCTTCCACGTCTATAGTCTCATAACTCGGAAACATCGGCGTGCACTTAATCCAGCGATGATATTATAATCCCGGTTGTTTGAACTCGCTCGCGGACCGTAAATATTAATTGAACGCGGCGAAATACGTTTCGCGGCAGGCAATTACATCACCGTCCGGGGCAAATGCAAATAATCGCGTTGAATTTCTCCTGGATAGAAAATCTGGCTGGCAGAAACGGAGACATCTGTGCTCTCTTCGTGCTCCACTCGCTACTTCTTTCTCCCTCTCTTCGTTTAATGGAGTTCCATGAAACATTGGTCACCGAAACGTGAATCTACAATATTTTGTAGATCTCTCCGAATCTCTCCTTTATTTTTTTAACCCTTTATATTGCCTGTGAATTATTTCATTTTTGTTTCCGACTCCTATACAATTGTAATCAAAAAAGTGTTTCACCTTCCAGTATTTCCCTACAGAAATTAGAAGATCATCTGCTATCATCCGTATAACCTTCTTTATCAGAAATGAAGATTTTGTTACAAAATTAGCACTGTGTTTTATGTGCATTAGTGTTTTTATTCTTACTCTTGTACACAAATTTATTCCAATAAACGATGAATATTATATTGCTATACGATATATAAATTATTATGTTGTTATAACGTATAATTTAGTGTATTAATTTTAGTGTTATACGTTACACCATTATATATAGGGTCGTTATTCTCCACAATCGCATCTCGAAATCTACCCTGCCCGAGAGAAAGAGGAACGACGAAATAAAAAACAGCACATCGAGCCTCTTTCGGAAAGTTTCCCCCCTCCTTTCAGTTTCCAAACTATTTTCAAAGCTTAATACCATTCGTTCGAGCGACAGGGCACGATATTAAAATAATTTCATTGCAGATATCCGACCAACTTTGTTAACCCAGATTACGTATTCTTTGTACGTCATAGAAGCCTGCCATTTCGCTACGCCGTGTGATGGCATACAGAAAGAGAAAAAGAAACGATAAAAAAAGGGGGAAGGACGTGGAATATTGCGTCTGGTATTATGCGCAGTTCCGCGTTCGCGTTCAAGAGTCTCGGAATATTTTTCAATTGAATTTTTCTGCCCGATTTTCCTTCCGACCGACTAATCAGTATGAAATTTATCCTGTCGCGCAGCCAATTAATTAAACGCGACGCGCTTTTGCTAGCCCGGCCATACCAATAATCGAAACTAATTCTTCTGCTGTCGAATTAATGCAAATTAACGTAATTGTGTTTATAGAACAAACATCGGTGAATGTATTTGGAAGCGGACGGATTGGTGATGAGTAGACTGCGACATTTATACAAATTCATATATTTACAAAAACGAGTAATAATAGGGTTAAACGGAACTTTTTGTCTCTCGTTATTCCTTGCGTGACAAGATATTGTCCTATTAAGGTTCATTCGATGTTTGCCCATTGTGGAATTACTATGATGGTATATATCAGATGGTGTATTTCTGTGAGTACAACAGGCATTAATGGATTACAACAACAGTAGTACAACAAAGAATATTGCATACCAAGGTTTCAACGCATCAAGCTCGCAATCAACATCAAACTGATACAAACCTATCTCAAACCGATAGGAAGAAATAACTCCCATAAGTACTAGAATATTAACGCCAACATGACGCCAATCAACTGTGGCAAGGAAAAAATATTAAACAACGCGTGACGTTAAAATTCCAAAATTCCAAAGTCCGCGCTCATCAAGCCAACGACTCATTAGATCCCGAAATCATTGTTTCCATAATGATTCGGGCAAGTTAGGATAGAGCCAAGGCAGGGATAACGATAACAGCAAGCTAGCCCTTTCAACGCGTTTCAGCCCTATTAATAACAATGTTAGCTAGCTGGTCTAATGCAGTTGCAGGGCTGGAAAGACGCAGTCTAATTACGTATGCACGCGTTCGACTCTCCGCGTAGGCGTAGACTAGAGCAAACCCTGCTCGACGGAGGCCATGGTGTTTGACCTGCGTGTGCATTGTTGCAGCATGCACGCGTGTACACGCTTCGCTGTATCTCTCCGCCGGCCATATTTACACGGGCTAATGAATTTCATACATAATTACCGGTTAGCCTACGTCCAGCTATTCTCCGTGGCATGGATCTACTCCTCTGACCATCCTTTTCGCCAACTTATACCTTTATTTCGAAGCATTAGGCGATGACCGTACTCGTGATACACTTGTCAAGTATTATTTAGGTTGGTTTAATTGTTCCTAGGGTATTCAGAGGGAATAGAGCGAGTAGAAAGAGCGAAAGATATAAAAATTGTTAGATATCAGAGTTGCGTAGGTTGGTATTTAAGGAGACAGTCTTTTGTCCATCTGTTTCCAACGATTAGGTAATAATCATATTGATATCAGGCTTGTGGTTCGATATTATTTGGATGAGATTGGCTAAAATTTGTTTTATTTAGTGTGTTGCATTTAGTTTTATTAAAAGTGAAAAATGAACGCGAACGGGGCAAACGTGGTTTCCCTCGAATCATTTCGGCGGAATATCGGTTTCCACTGGAGGCAAGGCTTGACTGGATTTTGTGTTTTGTGGTAATTCGAATAAGGGTAGGAGGGTCTAATTAGTGTAATTGGTGGATGCTGGTAGAGTCCGACAGCACTGGGAGTTAGCTCTACAATTACACGAAGTATGGGCTGCGATTATGGTTGGAAATCTGTTCTTGAAGTTTATTTAACTACGCGTGCTAATTCTACGTGTCTCGCTTAATATCAAGCCATTGGTTCTGTTTCATCGTGTAATTCTTTAATATAATCTCGTGTAATTCTCAACTTAATCAATACTATAAATGAGAAATTGTAAAAAATTAAATTCAATATGAGATACTCAGGGGGCTAAATGCTGACCATAGCTGTATATAACAGGCAGGTTTCGGGTAGGCATCACAAAAAATTACACGCGGGGACTTTCTCTGCAAAGGCAATAAAACGTTATCAATGGTTGGGGGGTGATGTAGCTGCACAAGAGTTAGAATTTGCTTCAAATCATGTTGTTGTTTTGCTTCGGAGTATCAAGACCGTTAGGTCACAGGTATTGTAAAGAGCTATGAACTCCGGGCAAAACAATGCTGCCGCTACACGTAGCCGTAAAACAAGACGAATTTCTATCTTTCGACCTTCTTCTGACGATTATAAATAAGCAAACGTGATCGCAAACGAGTCAATATAAACTGTGATTAAACGACTGTATAGATACCGTTTCGCGACAAGATCTGTTTTAAATACACTGACGATTACACATATTGGTAGTCTCATTATTCGATTCCCTACACCTTTCATAAGATCTAATATTCCAGCTAACATTTTTATTATTCATTTCTGTTTCAGTCGCTGGAGGGTCAGAACATCTATAATTCCTGTTGCACGTTGCGCATCGACTATAGCAAGATGCAGAACTTGAACGTGAAGTATAACAATGACAAGTCGAGAGATTATACCAATCCTTCTCTGCCAACTGGTGACGCGAATTTGGACGCGGCTTCTCTTGCTTTGGGCGGCGAGCTTCTTCCACAGTTGTTAATGGGCGCTGGATCGCAGCCCCGTGCAAGAATACCCGGTGAGAACCGTGAATTTTTATAGAATTTTTATGAAAATAGTAAGAAAGATAGTTCATGGATACGCTGCTTGGAATAATTCGGAATTTCGTAGAAAAATAAAAACAAAGTGGTAAAATAAGTTGCTTTATTTAAATTTCAATTTGTTTTATTTTTTTTTTTTTTTTGATATTGTTATTTTTAACAGTTTGCTTTTAATTCATGACATCTTTTGATACAGCTTTTCTATTATTTTTGTTTTCTTTATTTCTTTGAAATGCAATTAATTATTAAGTACTTTTTATGTTTGATTTCTATTATAATTAATTTAATATTCAGGAGATAAAACTAGTTATATAAAGTATCAGTACATTAGATTATTTTTACTGTTACTTTTTTGAATGTCCGGGATCATGAAATTTGGAATCTTAAACTTTGAGAAGTTCGAACGTTAGAGAATATAGAAATTAAATAGCTTGAAACGACGTTATCAAAATTCGAAAATCGAAAACAATCGATAACCATAAAAAAACCAATAACGCATTACATGTTATGCATCCCTATGTACACCCAGTGCTCTAATAAAGTTGTCACACGACATCGATCGTCAAGGGAACCCATAAAAATCGATCGATCAATTAGTTCCGTGTACCCAGAACGGTCCAGTCCATTAGAATTAATTATATTAATAGCGTGTCTCGCCCGCGGTTTATGATAAATTGTTATATCGAGTCGATCGGTCCGTTTCCAATTTGCCGCTCGTTTTCAGTTTCATTTCCGTGGGGGATCGAATTGCACGCGGTTAGACAGTATTATTTCCTGGGGTAAATTAATTAATTACGCTGCAACGCCACTGCTGATCGATACAGCCTGACGATTACCTATCATCGATCTTTCCTCCTGCTCCTACATTCTCAATTGTTTTGTTGTTTCATTGTATTTCTTCTTGGATTTTATTGGATTCATTTTTTCATCATAGTAGTATAAATGAGGGTTCGTTTTGAAACTTGTAATAATTTGTTTCTTTTTGCACTATAGAGGCGATTGGAATTTGGAGTGTGTTGGAAGATTTTTATTAGAAATACTATGCAGATGATACTATGAGGATTTAAATAGTTGAGTTAAAAGATTTTGAGCGTTAAAAGACAGTGAAGGTGTGAAATTGTTGAAGTTTAAAGGGATTGTTCGCTAAGTTTCTAAATTGTGCAGTCTGATGTAAGTTATATGAAAGTACCTAGGAAGGTTTCAGATTTAAGAGCTTCTTTGTCAGATCACGTTGAGATGCCTAAAGAATTTTGTTAATGTTGTATCAACTAACGTAGTTTTACCTCCTGAATTTGCTTCTTGTTGAAATTCTATTTTATTATGAGAGAAGTACAGGTAATCCTTCGATTTGAACAATTTCGAATTATTTTAAAATTTAAACAATTTTCAACGTTGAAAACTTGCGAAATCGAAAGATTCCCTATATCGCATCCCACAGAGTCCCACAAATACATAAAAAAAAATTTTCGTTTGACGAAAGAATCGACTTGGCACGTGAAATTTCAAAAAATTGACAGACTCCAGCGTTTACTATTTTTCATTTACTTTCGGGATATTTTAATTTTGCTCTGTGCATCCTATATCTTGCGTAATAACATACTGAATACAAATTAATATTATTCAAATTTTCCCTAAATTGTCATTTGTGGCTTGGTATCAAACGAAAGCAAGATGTTTTGTGTTCTTTCAATACAATACTCCATTATTCGTACTCAAATTTCCCGAATTTACCAAACAGACAAATTTCTCGAAAGGCACATGTTTGTACGTGAAATAAACTTCAGATAAATTCCACAATAATGATTTAAAAAATTGTTGTATCTACGTCTATTTCTATATTTGTTCCAAGCCTCGATAGTCGAGTCTTATAACATGGCGAGTCAAATTTATTCATAAAAAGTATCCATAAGTATTGGAGTAATTTCGTCAGCTCAGGTATAGGTCCATTCGATTCTGTCTCGCGTGACCTCGAGTTCCCTCACCATCAAGTCGATTCTTCCGCTAGTACACCCACCATTGGTCCACCGCCACAAATTCCAATTAGAGAAACGATGCTAACTATAGCTTGTAAATTTCCTGAAGTAGAGTCCATTGCAGGGGCACCGGGTGTGCTGCCCACGCCCTTTGCGGCCATGCACGGTCTACCCTCGCCCTTAGCGGGCCCATACAACGGGGTCCCACCTACCGGCGGATTGGCTGGCTTAGGTGGGTTCCCTCTGGGTGCAGCTGGCCTTGGAGTACGCGTTCCTACAAACGCGCAAACTTCCGCGGTCCTGCTCGTCAGCAATCTCAACGAAGAGGTGAGTGGTTTTTCATGGTACTCGATGAAATTGTTCTGTGACGTGGTCGAGGACATGGAGATCCAAGAAGAGGCACGAAGAAAAATTACAATAGGAAGAATTAAGATATCAAGGAGCGTAAGGAACGAAAATTTGTTTCCTTTTTTTTTCTTTTAATTGGTGATTAATTTCGTATTGCTCGTAAAATATTGCGAAGCTCGTTAAAGTATGTGAATATTCCTTCATTTCATACTATTGCAGAGAATTATGATTTATAATTTAATATTATTATTCATACTGTAATGTGTGAATATTTATTCTTTTAATTTTATCGAGAAAATTATTCATAATTTGTTATATACATAAATTAATGATCATTTTGATTAAAGTGTAGAATTAAATAGCGATTATTGGCACGTCCAATATAAATAAAAAAGATTTTGCTGAATCTTTATTATTGCTTTTCTTTTTTTCTTATATTTTCACGAAATTTCATTGAATTAACGGGATAGAATTTTTCTTCGCGCCTTGTCAAGGGAACACCGCTGAAGCGTATAGAACGTTGTCACACATTGAGCAAAATAAACATTAATAAAATACGCAAATTGTGATCGACGTGCTGTACGCTTTCAATTAGGATGATTTTCACTTAACGCTGAGAGAAATGGACCATTAGATTTCTCTACAAACGAATTGCAATTGATAACGTGATTCCACGATACACAAATTTGTAGTCATTGGTAAATTATTTTTTATAACTTTTCTCAATAAGCTCGAAATATATTTCCTTTGCTCAATTTCATTCTTTTAATACAAGTAATACACTAAATAGATATAATGATATAGTGAAAATAAATTTTATTTTTTGATTTTTAAAATTCAATTCAAATTGATTTTCAAATTTAATTTTTAATTACATCGAGATTAAAAGAGAAGACATTTTCTTTTTACATTCTTCGTTTCTCTCAGCGTCTGCCTATGTACACGAAAATGGCTTAGGTATGTACTTATCTACTAAAAATTTACCTAAATACAACGATATAATTATAATGTAGTGCTACGTAGGCAACTCTAGCAGTTTCTCCATCCCTGTACTCGAATTTTCCTTGTCGATCGTTTCTGAATGTATCTTCAAATGTAATCGAATATATTTTTGCATTTATAAGCGATCGTTTTTATTTCTAAATAAATTTTTGTTAATCTTCGAACAGAGTATTGGGTTCGACAAGTAAAATAAATCGAGTTCTCGATGCGTATGTGCCCTCTTTACGTCACGTCCCTTCTTATCTTACCTTTTTACCCCCCACTACCCCTCATATTTTCGAAATACATATATAGATATCGTTCCGAACGTTATCATCCTCTGTCCTGAGTAATTCGTGGCGTTGTTAATCGCAACGTTATTTCCGGCGAGGCGTCTTTTCTTTCTGAAAATTATGCGGAAATCGTAAATGTTAAGATAAATACGAGAAATGAGGGTTTTAGTACAGTTTTACATTGAAAATACTAATCTAGAAATTTTAACTTTGCAAAGTTTCGAATTTCTATTTTATCATGGTTCCCTCAACATCTAAATTCATTTCGTGGAAATGAAAGGCGCCTTACAAAGAAACTGTATGTCAACGTCACACTTCGCAGCTGCAACTATTGTCACTACTGTACTATAACTATGTGTACTACTATCGTTGCGCCGCGCGCACAAGCTTCCAAACCGAGTGTCTTTTCCCTCTGGCGAGCAAACGATCAAGTGTTTTTTTTACTATGTCTATCATCCTCTCTCTTTTATATATAAATACAGTCTACCACGCAAACTTTTTTGTACCTTGAAAAAGGCAATTTTTATTTATACAAAACGTAGTACAACGTCGTCCAATATTTTTCCTTGTTATTCGCATTTCTTAACATTTATTAATGATAGAATATAACATATTACAACGATATTTGTAATGCAATTTTTTTTAGTATTTTATTGGAATAAAAATAGCCTTCCTACAGGGTGCACGAAAACTTTTGTGGATGATTGAATACATATCGCCCTTTTGTTTCAAAAGTGACACAGGTGAAAAACATTACTTTTTCAAAAAATACAAAAAACTATATGTAACATAATGTAACACGTTATTCCGTGAATTAGTTCGAAAAACATGCTTTTTTAACTGTGTGACCTCTGTGACAATAGTGTGGTCTATCCATATACATATTTTTACGATATTCTTCCTTTAAATGTTTTTTTTTTCTCTTTAACCCCACGTGATATCACTATATCGAGAAACGATAAGAACCGCGAGGGATTCATATTGACGAGAAGGTCCCGCTGTTTCTCTGCTTCTCTAAGTCTTTCTGTGTCTCTCTCTGTTCTCTCCTGTTCTCTCCTCTTTCGATTGCGACCGCAGAAAAATCGACTGTAAAAAGAAATTCCAGCCCTTTCGCTGACTTTCATTCTGTATCTGCTTTTTTTTTTATATATACAAATTGTGGTCACTGTGATTTCGAGATTCTTTTAGAAAATTTCTTTTCCTTCTAATTCGTGAAATTTTTGGATGCTCCTTGAAATTCAGTCAGAAGATAGAAAGAATTTCATATTTTTTACTTTTTATTCTCTAAATTGCCAGAAGATGATCTACGGAGTTAAAAATTATTTTGATAAAAAGTTTGCATTTCTGAAAGTACCGAAAATAATTACATAAAAGTTGTAGAATTATATTATATGTTTGAATTGGAAAAAATGTATGCCATTGTAAATTGAAAACTGGATTTTATAAAAATCGAAGTATATAAGAATTGAATGAAATGGAGATTGATTTCGGTAGTAATTAAATTCGCTAAAAATCCAAATTAGACAAAACTTGAGTTCGATAAGAATCCACTTCAATGAAAATTCAAATTAGAATTCAGAAAATTTTCCAAAAATTCTGAAGTAAAATTTCTACAATTTTTCCAAATTGTATTTACATTTGAGATTTTATGTTTTTATAAAGATTCGTCATAGTGACACGATTTGGTCAGGTATATTCTTCAAAGTCAGTAAATGATCTGGAAGATCTGTAAGGTCCAAAAGTGGCCCGTATACACGTGAGGCCAGCGAAACTTGTGCGCGTGCCAACACTATACATTTGAATCCTATTATACTCGCTGACTACTGACTGGACTCTGTCTGTTCTCTGTGTAGATGGTCACGCCTGACGCTCTCTTTACCCTGTTTGGTACGTCTCCACATTTATATTATTAATTATATTACATTATTAATTATTGTATTTACACTCGCGGAACACATTGACACATACGCAACACACAAACACACTTTACACAGTGACATTCCTTAGACGTGTTTTTACATGGATCAGTAGTAACTGTGAGCATTTTTGGAGAGTGAACAAATAAAATTAAATATTAATAGCAATATTTTCCTTTGTTCATTTATTTATCTGTTTTTTTTTTTTTTTTTTTTTTTAAAACACTCGCGGAACACATTGACACATACGCAACACACAAACACACTTTACACAGTGACATTCCTTAGACGTGTTTTTACATGGATCAGTAGTAACTGTGAGCATTTTTGGAGAGTGAACAAATAAAATTAAATATTAATAGCAATATTTTCCTTTGTTCATTTATTTATCTGTTTTTTTTTTTTTTTTTTTTACAAAATTTTCTTACATATGTGATACATGGGAACACGAACAGAGAATATATATGTATATAGTCTATAATCATCGATCGTACGTCATGATTATTTTGTTAATTTCTGACATTTTTATCTTTTTGCTGGTCTTTTGAGAAAAAATATTTTTGTGGAAAATTTAAATCATTATATCACTCTCCTCGTCACGTGTACTTATGATTTTTATTTTATTCTTTCCTTTTATTGTTTTTTTTAATTTTAATTTTATTTTTATTATTTTACTCACCTCTGTGAATTTTCTTGGTATTATTTTATTTATTTTTATTCGTCTCTTACCGATCTTTAATTCTATTGATTTATTATTTTATTATTTTATTTATTCGCTATAACTGTTCTTATTCGCAATCTCATTCATCGATATTTTCACCCCCGCCCACCCACCACGACCCCCATGATCATTGTTCGATTCTCATCAGCAACACCGTTTTTTTCACGTTCTCTATTTCCAAGCATCTCTTCTAAATTGTTTCATTAATATTTTATTAATATCAGTTCCAGACACCTTTTTTAATATTACATAAGCTTTCGCTTATTTTATCGTAATATCTCCATAGGAGCTCACTTCTCGCGGGCCAAACGGTTCAGCCATTTTATATAATTTTTAATACAGCCCAGCCTGAAAGAGTTTCGTTCTTCAAAGTAAAAATTTATAAATTTTATTTTTATAGAATTTTTATAAAACTTCTATAGAACTATGATTGGTATGAGACTACCGTAGAACTCGAATTTTTATAAAACTTCTGTGTAAAAAGATAAGACAAACTTGCATACAGATAAAATTTTATGAGAAACATTTAGCACAAGCTTTGAATAAAATCGGTGGCTGAATCGGTTGCCTATTTGCATGTCCCAGATCTTGTCCGATCGTACCCCGTTCTCGATCGATTATTATTACCGATTATTATTATATTATTGTCCCGTTTCGTCTTCGACTCGATAATGATTAGACGCTCGTAATTTGATAACGAGATCGGACTGATTAAAATGATGTGTTGCGTGTTGTGCATGTAGGCGTTTACGGGGATGTTCAGCGTGTGAAGATTCTCTACAACAAGAAGGACTCGGCACTGATTCAAATGGCCGAACCGCATCAGGCGCACTTAGGTAATTTTTCTTTAATAATTTACGTAGTATCGAAAATTATTAAACTGTTGAAAATAAAGAATTACGATGTTTATAAATTAAAAATGAAACGTACGCGTAACGTTGTAACGAATATATCTTTTTTTGGAGAATACTTTAATGATTGGTATAATTTCTTAAAAACGAAAATTTACAAAATTTGAGATTATACTAAAATGGAAGCGGTGAGAAATGTATTGATAATTTGTTTAAAATCACAGCATTGACACACATGGACAAATTGCGAGTATTTGGCAAGCAGATCAAGGTAATGCTGAGCAAACATCAGACGGTACAGTTACCAAAGGAGGGCCAACCAGACGCTGGATTGACGAAAGATTATACCAATAGTCCTCTTCATCGGTTCAAGAAACCGGGCTCTAAGAACTATCAGAATATCTATCCACCGAGCTCCACTCTGCATTTATCGAATATTCCGTAAGTAAATTGTTTCCAAATTCATCCTTGTTTTTCTGTAATTGAAAGATAATGTATGATACGAAATATAACGCTACATAATTAATTTTTTTAAATCAGATTCTTTAATATTTCTATATTGGATAATTCAATCTTCCGATATTTGATAGTTAGAATATTATGTACCTAGAATTGATAATAAAATATTAGAATATTACGTATAAATATGCGCTATTAAATAATTCAATATATAGTATCGCATGTTAATAAATATAATTGTAATATTATATAAGACAGTGAAATATTTTTGGCACGTGTTTAGTACAACTGTGACTGAAGACGAGATCAGGGATGCGTTCACTAAAAATGGCTTCACCGTGAAGGCGTTCAAGTTTTTCCCAAAAGACAGAAAAATGGCGCTCATACAGATGCCCAGCATGGACGACGCCGTAGCTGCTTTGATCGTAAGTTTTAATTGCCTTTTTTTAAATTCGCTACAAGCTTAGATTGTTGTCGAGGATTTAATATTTGAAATTTTTTATTTCGTTCTACTCTAACGTTTCCATTGGACTCTAAAATGTAAAATCTAGAACTCGAAAGTTGATTAATTTAATAGTTCGCTCGAATATACTTGCAGATTTCGTTTTGTTTCATGTTGACGATGTTGCTTGTGAATGTATAGCTCATTTATTATTGTTTATTCGATGAAAATTCATCAGTGGCGTAATTAGTTTAGTCACTGGTGCCTGATGTTCGCCTCTGATACAATTGCGCGAAATTATACATAACAAATCTATGTTAAGTTTGTGCGAAATTACAATGTTTCAAAACTCGTTATAAAATAATAATTGTTCGTCATTTTCCACGTGTTTCATACATGTTTCTTCATCGAAGCCAACCAGTTATTTATTGTTAAATGTGACGTTACTAGTACCTTCAGCTTTGTCGATAATATTATTACGTTGAATATTAAGAATATTATCACCTGAAGCTTCGATATTACCTTTACGAGTCTTTTCAAATGGCCTACTTAACACGTTAAATGGTGAACGAACCATTTTCGTTTTGACTCTTCATTCGAATCGTATGGACCGTGAGTAGTATTATAATTGCATAATATATCACCGTTATACATCGACTGATTATATTCTGAAGCATTTTACGATCGATTTTTCTTTTACACAAACTACAATAGTCTAAATGAAAAGTCCACCGCGGACCACCGATAGTCTATGCGGTATTAAATGTGTTAACTTATTTTATTTAAAAATCATGCTAACCCAAACTGTTCCGTTTTTTTTTTCAGAAAATGCACAACTACCAGCTGAGCGAATCCAACCACCTGAGAGTGTCATTTTCCAAGAGCAACATCTAACAAGAGTCACAAATATGCAACCGGCAGTGGTACCAGCCCTACGCCCTAGTCCCCTTTTGGATACCCGGCTCAGTGTACGACTGATGATGATAACAAGCGATGATGATGATCCTCGCTGAGTGTGTGGTCAGTCGCTGGTCCCATTACCGCGACGCCATTGACTGGCCAACCTCTGGATCTTACCTGGGAAACGAAGGAATGAAGCTTCCTCTGCGAAGCGCATATACAAAACACGACCTAACAATCGTGTGCGGTGCACTTCTATTTTTCTTGACAGACCGTCTCTAAGACTATTTCCGAACAGCGTACAGATCGACACGATTTGTTATCTCCATACATGCATACACACACACACACACACACACACACACACACACACACACACACACACACACACACACACACACACACACACACACACACACACACACACACACACACACACACACACACACACACACACACACACACACACACACACACACACACACACACACACACACACACACACACACACACACACACACACACACACACACACACACACACACACACACACACACACACACACACACACACACACACACACACACACACACACACACACACACACACACACACACACACACACACACACACACACACACACACACACACACACACACACACACACACACACACACACACACACACACACACACACACACACACACACACACACACACACACACACACACACACACACACACACACACACACACACACACACACACACACACACACACACACACACACACACACACACACACACACACACACACACACACACACACACACACACACACACACACACACACACACACACACACACACACACACTTGAAAAAAGATACAAAAGATACTAAATACACGAAGATAAAAAAGGATTAGGGCTGCGAAACAGCGAAAAGGAGGGTTGTGTTTGAAAGAGAAAATATTAAGAAAGTAATCATACACTGCTGGCTTTCACGAGGCCAGAGATAAGGAGAAAGCCAGGATCGATCTTATATTGAGAGAAAAGGAGAGAGGAGAGACACAGGAAGCGTGTGTTTTGCGTGATAGGTGTATGTTATTCAAGAAGGGAGGAGGGAGAGACTAGGTTTTTAACGAAAAAGAAAAAAAGGAAACGTAGGGGCTCGGTGAGAAGCAAGAAAAAGGGCCGATTGGGTTCTTGTACAGAGTTAAGAACAATTTTTCGAGCATTAAGGTATATTCTATATACACATAAATCTATATATATATGATATATTTTACAAGGGTGACGCACTCTGGCCGCGAGCCTCGCGCGTTATATGACCCGCAAATAACCACACGCATGCACGCAGAATTCGCATGTGTGTGTGCTGACAGAAGAGAAAAAATTACGTTCTATATATATATATAGATATATATATAAAT